TCAGTTTCTTGGGGTCCATTGTCTCAATAGTCTGATAGCCAAAGGGCAGGTCACAAAGGTCTCTTTAGAATTTGGCTACAATCTGTTTGTTAATTCTAGCCCAGCCTTTCCCCTCTGAAATGAAAGAATTGAGGTTTGTTTATTCATTGGCTCAATAAACACATCCATTTTATGCTATTGGAAAGTGAGAGAGGCTAAGTAAATTGGGAAGGTGGCCCAGGTGGTGAGGCACCACTAGGTCCTAGAAGATGAGTGTGTGTTGGATGAGGGAGGGGTGAGAGTGGGCAAGACAGGATTCCAACAAAGCACCTTGGTGGACCTTGAGAATCACAGTCGTGAGCCCTCATCATTGTTAATGAATCTGGGAAGATCTAGGGCCTTTCTTAGCCTCTGGTCATTGTTATCATCATCACCATCACCACCATTATTATCAACATCATCATCATCACCATCACCATCATCACCATTATCAACATCATCATCATCATCATCACTATCATCATTACCATCATCATCATCACCATCATCGTCATCAGTGGTGTTTTGAGATAATATCTCATTTAGCCCAGTCTGCCTTTGAATTTGTTAAGTAAACTTGAACTTCTGATCCTCTTGCCTCAACATCCTAGGTTCTGGGATTATGGGTGTGTACTTCATACTCAGTTTTATGTGGTGCTGGTGATGGAACCCAGGACTTCTTGCATGCACTCTGCCAATTGAGCGACAAACCCACCCTTATTATTATTATTATTAGGCATGTATCTGCAAAAAAATGCTGAAATGCAGAAGGTGTTGAGCTCTATAGGAGTCTCCCAACAGGATATGTTCCCTCCCTGTCCTTACATGTACTTCCCGTTCTCTTTTTAAATTGTTTTTTTTCCTCCCTTTCTTTTCCTTTTTAATGTAATTTTTCCTTTCTCTCTTTCTTTCTTTCTTTCTTTCTTTCTTTCTTTCTTTCTTTCTTTCTTTCTTTCTTTCTTTCTTTCTTTCTTTCTTTCTCTTTTCTTCCTTCCTTCCTTCCTTTCTTTCTTTTTTCTTTCTTTGAATGGGGTCTTGCTATGTAATCCAGGTTTGCCTCAATCTCACTCTATAACCCATGTTGGCATTGATTTCAGCAATCCCCCTGCCTCATTCTCCCATGTGCTGCTGTATTAATTACCAGCATGCACCACTATGCCTGAAGGGACTCTAAACAGCCTGAGCATGGCAAATATGGCTCTGGCAGGCCTTGCCCTTCTCCCCTATTCCCTCTGTCTTGCTAGTCCCCAAGGTCTGTTCCCTTATTTGGACATTTCTTCCTTCTAAGGATGACTGCCAAGGTCCAGCTATCAAAGTATTGAAGTCCAGCAATCAGAAGCTCCCTTTGGTTCCCCTTATTAACATGTCCACCTAAAATTAAACACCTCATCCTAACAAGAGGTTTCTTCTCTTACCATTATAAGCTGCCATTTGCCTATGGACCAAGTCTGTCTCCTCTCTATCCAAATGCAGCCCTTTGTCCCCCGAGACAAATACCCCTGCCCCCTCTCCCTTGTTCCCTCCTCCTTCTCCCTCATCCTCTGTCTCCTGTCTTTGTCTCTCATTCCCTGCCTTCTGATCCTCTGGGGCAAATAAATCTCCTTTGTGCTGAAAACTTGGTCCTGGGGTTAGGACCAAGTTAGGTTAACTTAGCTGACTTCGAGGTTCCTTTCAATGCCCAGCTCCAGTTCTATATCATTAACTTGGGTAAATATCTCGTTCCTCACTCTTCCACTGTTGGTGGGACTGCAAACTTGTACAACCACTGTGGAAATCAGTATGGCAGTTTCTCAGAAAATTGGGAATCGATCTACCTCAAGACCCAGCTATACTACTCTTGGGCATATACCCAAAGAATGCTCAACCATACCACAAAGAAACATGCTTAACTATGTTCATAGCAGCACTATTTGTAATAGCCAGAACCTGGAAACAACCTAGATGCCCATCAACTGAAGAATGGGTTAAGAAAATGTGGTACATATACACAATGGAGTACTACTCAGCAGAGAAAAACAATGACAGCATGAAATTTGCAGGCAAATGGATGGAACTAGAAAATATCATCCTGAGTGAGGTAACCCAAACCCAGAAGGACAAACATGGTATGTACTCACCCATAAGTGGATTCTAGATATAGAGCAAAGAACAATCAGACTGCAACCCACAGAACCAGGGAGGCTATATAGCAGGGGGGACCCTAGGATGACTGTGGCTTAGAATAAGTTTTGGTTTTACTCAAAACAAAAACAAAAATAAAATATATAACAAAAAAACATCTTGTTCCTCTCTCAGGGCCCATTTCCCCTTGTAAGCACCTCACCCAGCCTTGCTCAGTGATGATGGCAGAATACCTGGCCCCAGTGGATGGGCCACAGAACCATTGGTACCCAGAGCCTTGTGGTAAGGAGAGACAAAGTGGCACACTGGGAATGGAGCTGACAGGAAATGTACCCTTCAGAAAATGGGTGTAGGAGACAGAGGTCTGGCCAGGGGTGGTTGGTGCAAGGCTTTAATCTCCACACTCAGGAGACAGAGGCAGGTAGATCTGATTGTAGCTGGAGGCTTTTCTGTGTCCTGCCCAGACCTGCAGCCTTTTATAAAATAATCACTCTGAGGCTTAATATTAAGCATAATTGTTAGGCCAATGAATCAGGCTTATTACTAGCTAGCTCTTACATCTTAAATTAACCCATCCTTATTAATCTGTGTATTGCCACGTGGTTGTGGCATTATCAGTCTGCTGGCATGTTGCTCTTTGTGCAGCTGGAGGGAGTCTGCCATGATTCCACCCCTCTTCTCCCGTATCTCTGCTTGGATTTCCCACCTGGCTCTATCCTGCCTTGCCATAGGCCAAAGCAGCTTTATTTATTAACCAATGGGAGCAACACATATTCACAGCATACAGAAAGACATCTCTTATCATTTCCCCCTTTCTGTCTTGTTCTATGAATTTATTCATTCTGTCTTGTTCATTCACGAATTTGCTTGTCATCCTTGCTCAGGGGACATGCTAATTTTCTCTGTATTGTTCCAATTTTAGTATATATGCTGCTTAAGCAAGCATGTCATTTATAAAATAATCACTCTGAGACTTAATATTAATTATAATTGTTTGGCCAATGGCTTAGGCTTATTACTAGCTAGCTCTTACAGCTTGAATCAACCCATTTTTATTGATCTATATATTGCCACGTGGCTGTGGCATTACCGGTCTGTTGCCATGTTGCTCCTTGGGAGGCTGAATGGTGTCTGCCAGACTCCACCCTTCTTCTCCTGTATCTCTGCTTGGATTTCCTGCCTAGTTCTATCCTGGCTTGCCATAGGCCAAAGCAGCTTTATTTATTAACCAATGGGAGCAACACATATTCACAGCATACAGAAAGACATCCCACATCATCTGATCTCTGGGAATTTGAGGCCAGCCTGGTCTACATAGGGAGTTCCAGGATAGCCAAGGCTATGTAGAAAGCCTCTTCTCAAAAAAGAGGTGGCTGTGGGGGAGGTCACCACACAACCATGTAGGTTATGGGTCCTTGAGGAAGTAGAGCATTGTGAGGTAAAGCACATCATAGCAGAGGTGGTGTGACACAGATGTGAGGTGGGACAACATTATAAACTTTATAAAAACACGAAGAAAGTTCACTTAGGGTGAAAAAGTGTAAGAAATAGTGTCATGGACCCAATGAGGGGGACCTGAAGTGAGGGGACAGAGAGGGAGGGAGTGGGGGGTGTTGCTTTTATAACTATCCCCAGGGACAGAGAGTATGGCCATGGTTCGTCCAGTTTGGGGGCGGAGCTCTGTGTTCAGAGCTGTAGAGCAGTGTGGGCAGCAGAGATAAGGAAGCAGGCCTGTTACATCAACCAGAGATAGAGCGCAGAGCTGTAGGGGCGGTGTCCCTGTTGGGGTGACTACTGCTGTGGTGAAACACCCTGAACAAACAACTTGCAGAGCAAAGGGCTTGTTTGGCTTCAGCATCACTATTTGTCATGAAAGGAACCAGGACAGGAACTCACACAGAGCAGGAGCCTGGAGGCAGGAACTCACACAGAGCAGGAACCTGGAGGCAGGAACCTGAAGGCAGGAACCTGGAGGCAGGAACTGATGCAGAAGCCACGGAGAGGTACTGCTTACCAGTGTGCTCAGCCTGATTTCTTAGAGAACCCGGGACCACCAGCCCAGGAGTGGCCCCAGACACCATGAACTGGCTGCTCCCCATCAATCACTCATTGAGAAAATCCCTTACAGTGTTGTCTGCAGCCCAATCTTACAGAGGCATTTCCTCAGTTGAGGTTTCCTCCTCTCAGGCAGCTACAGCTTGTGTCAAGTTGACATAAAACTAGCCAGCATAGGAGAGGTAGCCTGATTTCTGAGTGTATGTGGGGTGGGAGTTATGGGGACTACAATTAAAGGTCTGTGCCACCATGCCTGGCTCTAATTTTCTCTTTTAAAGATGAAAAACCTGCTGGGTGGTGGTGGTGCACACCTTTAATCCCAGTACTTGGGAGACAGAGGCAGGCGGATCTTAGTGAGTTTGAGACCAGCCTGGTCTACAAAGTGAGTTCCAGGACAGCCAGAGCTACACAGAGAAACCCTGTCTCAAAACAAAACAAAACAAAACAAAACAAAACAAAACAAAACAAAACAAAACAAAACAAAACAAAAAATAAATCCAACCAAACAACAACAACATTAGTGAAAGAGGTGACAGGCAGTTCCTTTAAATAAGGGCCTATGCTTTCATCTGAATCTGTAACAGGGTGCACGAGGTGAGCTGTGGTGGTGGTGGGTGTGTGTGTATGTGCATGTGCGTGTGTGTGTGTGTGTGTGTGTGTGTGTGTGTGTGTGTGTGTGTGTGTGTAAGTGACCTGAAATCCCAGTTGCCCCACTGAGTGATCTGTTAACATCATGTTTCCCCTCAAAGGTCATCAGGGTTCCATTTACACAGATGATGAGCTGGCATGAGAGAAGAAGGGCTTCTCACTGAAACTTGGTAGCCTGAGGGGAGACAGGCAGGAGTCCCAGCCAGCCAGGTTATGGGTTGGAGATTGTCTACTAGAATACTGCAGCCACCCACGTAGACAACAAATGCCACCACTCACTTTCAACTCTGCAGCTGGGTGCTGGATGCAACCTTTTCTTTTAGGACTTCTGACCTGCCCTGCTTCTAGGAGTCCCTGGCTGGAGCATCAGCCTGCTTGAGCATGGGACACTGCCTGCTGCCCAGATGCCCAGGCAGAGGAGAGCAAAGCAGGGCCTTCTCAAATTTCCCCCATACTCTTCAAGGCTCATTCTGAAATCCAAGTGCCTCCTGTGTTTTCTGCATCCTCTGGCCTCCCTGCACCTACCCTGAGTCTTTTGTTTTGTGTATTTGTGATGGGGGTGGTGGAGTAGGAAAAATGCTGCCGAGTGTGCCAGCATTCCTCAGAGCCCACTGAAAGGGCACTGCCCGGTGGCTGTGGAGCTTTTTTCATAGTTATTAATTGTGCTGGAAATGTTAATTTCCTGAATGCAAAATATTGTGCCAGGGCTTTTCCTTTCTGATGGCAGAATTGGCCTTCAGGATGACAACTGTCAGGGTGAAGGAGGGATATGGGAGCTTTCCTCTGCTGTGTACTCGCTTGCACTTGGAGCTGATAGTCCCCGTGGTGTTCTCAATGCTCAGCCAACAGGAAATGGCAGTGGCCCAAATAGATCACTCTGAGGTAAGCATTCCTTCACTTACTACTAGCAGTATCTGTCCATCATCAACCCATCTGTCTATCCATCCATCCATCCATCCATCCATCCATCCATCCATCCATCCATCCATCCATCCATTCATCTGTCCATCTCTTCATGCATGTATCCATCCAACCGTTCATCCAACTGTTTATTCATCTACCTGTCTATCCATCTATTTGTCTGTCTGACTCTCTGCTCATTGGGAGAAGAGCCAAGAGGCAGCAAGTGTGAGACAAGGAAAGGAGAGCTTTATATGGGTCAAATCTTGCTTGGAGGTCAAGGAAGGTGACTGGTAGTTTGAATGTATTTGGCCTCTGGAAGCTCATAGGGAATGGCACTCTTAGGAGGTGTGGGTTCGTTAGAGTAGGTGTGGCCTTGTTGGAGGAAGTGTGTCACTGTGGAGGTGGGCTTTGGGGTCTTATCTATGCTCAAGCTATGCCCAGTATCTCAGTTCACTCACTGTTGCCTGTGAATCAAAGATATAGAACTCTCAGCTCCTTCTCTAGCACCGTGTCTGACTGTATGCCACCATGTTTCACCATTGTAATAAAAGCTCTGAAAATGTAAGCCACCCTAATGAAATGTTTTTCCTTTTTAAGAGTTGCTGTGGTCAAGGTGTCTCTTCATAGCAATAGAAATCTGAACTAAGACAGAAGTTGTTATCAGGGACTGGGGTATTGCTGTGATAGGCTTGACCATGCTTTTGTTTGAAGGAATATGAACCATGGGACTGTGGATCATAAAAGCAGTTGAATGTTTTAAGTGCTGCTCAATGGGCCATTCCAGTAGGAGCATGGAAGGCAGTGGTGCTGAGTGTGATCTGATGAACTGAAGGGGCCTGGCTCGAGAGGTTTCAGAGAAGAATTTTAGAAGAGTCTGCCTGAACCTAAAGTGAGGAGATTTGGATTAATTCCGTTGGCAGAGGAAATCTCAAAACTGCCTAGTATAGATTCTGTCATGTGGTTACTTATGGATTACCCAGAGTCTGGGGATTTCGCTGCGTCTGGTGTGGGATATCTGAGGGAAAAAAAAAAAAAACAACTACATACTCTATGCTCTTACGTCTGTTAACTTTATACCTCTAAGACAGAATTCTATCAATACAGCTACAGCTCCATCAGGCATTCAGGGCAGAAATAACTCTAGATGCACCAAGCTCTTTGTCCGTCTACTTTATTTCTCTGGGATAAAATTCTGTCTACATAGCTTCAATTCTGTCCTGACACTCAGTTCCCCTTTGTCCTCTCTTTTACTGTTCCCTCAAAGTCCTGCTAACAACTAAGCTCTTATGCTTCCTGCCTCATCTTCATCCTCTGTTTCTTCTCTCTCCATCTCTGCTAGCTCTCTACTCCTGGCTCAAGAGTTCTGCTTTGCCATCTATGTTACCTCTGTGTTCTTCTCTTCTCCTTGGTCATGCCAGTTCTGTCCTACAGAAAATGCCTGTGTCCTCTGTCTTCTCAGCAATGTTCCTCCACCCTACCTTCCACCTTGATATGTAAAACCTCTTTTGTTCTCTGTCAGTTGCTCTGGGGAGCCACTAGGCCTCAAGGCAAGGGGATGATCTGAGCTTCATTAGCACAAGAAACAAAGCTATGTGTCTCCAGTCAGCTTGTCTCCTAGGCTGGGGGGAGGTAGGGTGGAGTGGAGGGGATAGGGGGGTGGGAGGGTGGGGGGAGTTAGTTACCTAGAAGTTCAGCAGGTCTGAGGAGATAAGCTGTTTGCCAAATGGTCTGGGAAAATTTGGGCATGCAAGAATTTCATAGCAGAAGACAGCTGAATTATTAAAAGCTGGATAACACCAAATATTCATAATAAATGGCTTGCCTTTTGACAGACCCTTGGCCAGTCAAAGTATAGCTTTAATACAGAGCTGAATCTCTAAAATATATTCTTGCAGCCCACAAGAGTTACTAATGTTTATGCATATAAAGATTTATAATAAAAAGGAGCAAGCTGAGCAAGGAAAAATAAAAAATGTGCAATTTGAGAAGAAGTGGAATGGGGCTAAGTCCTGTGTTTCAGGAGATAAACAGACTAAGAAATGGAATAAAAGGAATGGTGACCTCAGAGTAAGATCCCATTAAAGAAAAGCTTAGAGTGTGGTGGTGCATGCCTTTAATCCCAGCACTCCAGAGACAGAGACTGGTGGCCTCTGAGTTTGAGGCCAGCCTGGTTTACAGAGCAAGTTCCAGAACAGCCAAGCTTAGGCAGTGAAGGAAACCATCAAAAACAGAAAGCTGGTGAAGATGTAATTGAATAAGGGTACCATGTTTCAGCCACAGAAAGCAGCAGAACTTGGCAGCTTCAGCCACATGGCTCTGTCTTTAGAGTCAAGAATAAAAGAAAGGAGTTATGGAATATTTCTCTGTGACTAAGGAAAGCTAGTGAAGCCAGGCATGTGTCAAGGGTGTCTCTGAATGGGGGGCCTAGAGAAGCCATTGCATGAAGCTGTGAAGTTGAAGTCTGGATTGCCTTGGTGACCCCAAGATGGTGGACATGCCATAGTCATGGGGTACCTGCTGGGGAAAGCTGCTGCTAACAGGGAGTGGAACCAGCCCAATAGAAAGAAGTGTGTTGTAGTCAACAAAGCTGAAAGGAGTTGGAGATCTGAAGAGCATTTTGACATCAGACATGGAGATAGAAAGTTTGGAATTTACCTGGCTGATTTTCAGTCTTGCTATGGTCCAGTATTTCCTCACTATGCTCCCTCTCCTCAATTTTGGAATGGTAATGTATATTCTGTATGACTGTATGTTGGAAGTATGTGATTTGCATTTGATTTTTATTTTATTGGGGATTACAGTTAAGAGATTGCATGAATCTCAGAAGAGACTTTGAACTTTGGACTTTTAAACATTGTTGAGACTGTGATAGTCTATACGGACTTTTAAAGTTGGACTAAATGCATTTTGCATTATGGTATTGTTACAAGCTTATGGGGACCAAGGAGTGGAATGTGGTAGTTTAAATGTAATTGGTCCCCATAAGCTCATAGGGAGTGGCACTATTAGGAGGTGTGGCCTTTTTGGAGGAAGTGTGTCATTGTGGAGGTGGGCTTTGAGATGTCATATATGTTCAAGCCATGCCCAGTATCTCAATTCACTTCCTGTTGTCTGTGGATAAAGATTGTAGGACTCTCAGCTCCTTCTTCAGCACCATGTCTTCCTGCATGTACATGCTATCACATCGCACTATGATGATAATGGACTAAACCTCTGAAAATGTAACCACCCTAATTAAATGTTTTTCCTTTGTAAGAGTTGCTGTGGTCATGGTGTCTCTTCACAGCAATAGAAAACCCGAATCAAGAAAGTAGGCCTTAAAGAGCCTTGGACTTGGATTTCGGACAGTCATAGTAGTTGTGGTGGTTAGCTAAGGTCATGGTTTTGAGCTGGGCTTCCTACTCTGATGCCTTTGTGGCCTTTGAGGAATCACTTGGCTTCTCTGGCCTCTGTAGTTGTTGTAAGAACAGTGTAGTGGTTTGAATAGGAAATGCCCCCTCCCCCAGATAGACTCACATATTTGAATGCTTGGTCATTAGGGAGTGGCGATACTTGATAGGGATTAGGAGATGTGGCCTTGTTGGAGTAGATGTGGCCTCACTGGAGAAAATGTGTCACTGGGGGTGGGCTTTGGGGTTCCAAATGCTTAAACCAGGCCCAGTGTCTCTCTCTTCCTGCTGCCTTTAGATCCAGATGTAGAACTCTCAGCTACCTCTCCAGCATCATGTCTGCCTGTGTGCTGCCATGCTTCCTGCCTTGACAATAATGAAACCTTTGAAACTGTAAGCAATCCCAATTAAATGCTTTCTTTTGTAAGAGTTTCCATGGTCATGGTGTCTCTTCCCAGCTCTAGAACAATGACTAAGACAGACATTGTACTCAGCACAGTACTAGGTACCTCTCACCTTATCATGGAAAGTGCCACCTACAGGAAGCTATTGTCATTTCAGCAGAAACAGGACAGGAAGTATGACGGAACGGCAAGGATGAAGGTAAGATTGTCACGTCCCTTACCTTGGTTATCAGGCCATTGCCAAAATGGACCCCAAGACACTGGAATTCCATGCTGTGAAAAGAGAAAGCACAAAGCCAGGACTGGCCAGACAGAGAGGGGACTTTTCTCTGGAAGGAGATTCACAGCTTGTCAGAGAGAGAGAGAGAGAGGCCAGTGTTGGTTGGAACACACACCTTGCCCTGGTCTGCAGAGCTGTGCAGAACTCTGGCCTTGACTTAAACCTTAGCTTGGTTTCAGAACCTCCAAAGATGGACTTGGAGGTGGGGATATCACTGGATATATTTGTCCTTCTTTCCAGTGTTAACACACACAAAAAAAAATCCCTCCCTCCCACCTCCCCTCTCCTGTTACATTATGAATTTGGTTATTTTAATTGGCTTCTTGAGGCTTGGTGCCATTAGAAGCCACATGCTTGAGACGCCGGAGCTGCAGGTGGAAGGAGCCTGGATCTCTCTAACTCAGAGACAGAATGCCCGGGAGCTCCTCCCTCCAAGTCAGCATTGATTTGCTTCCTTCACCGTTCTTCCTGGGCAAATGATCCAGAGCTCCAGCCCCCTAGCAGCCACTCTCTGTTCTTCTGGGTCACACTTTCCTCTCCTCTCATGGCTTTTCCTGCACCAGCATTTGCCTCTCTCTGCTCCCTCAGGGTGGGTGTAACTCGACCAGCTGCTTCAAGCTGCTGCTGCCAGTCTGTCTTCCCCTTCACAGTTGACTGTATCCCCAACCTGTAAGCCCAAATAAACCCCTCCCTGGTTAAAAAAATAATAATTGGCTTGTTGAGGATAGGTAACCAGACTTGGCCTGTTGGGGGCACATCTGTGACCTTAAGCCCAGTAACAGAAAGGCTTGGTGAAGGGTACCCTTCACCAAGGGTGCACTGGGTTCTCTGAGAAGAGGACCCAGGAGTGGGCGGAGGGAAAGATTCAGACATGGAAAGAGGACGTAGGGCCTAGGGGTGGTGGCAGGTGCATAGGCTCAGAGAGAGGAGAGTCTGGAAGTTTTTCTGGGTCCCTGCATACCCAGACGAACAGTGTTCCTCGCTGGCAATGATCTGAACTGTTTCCCATCATCATGAGTCTGCTCATGGCCGTAAAATATGGGATGACACTAGATTTGCTCATTAAGTAAATGGGATAACAAAATAATTGAAAAATGGATCTCTGTCCGGAAGGAGTGGAATTGTTCCCTGGGCTATTGTCTGTGTCCTGCTCTTTGAGTAATCTGCCAGAGACAGGCAGACAACGTCAGGTTCAGAAGTGATGAGAAACCATGTGTTGAAAAGAGCCGGAAATTACCCACAGCTGTAACAAGAGCTTTTGTCTCCTGAGAAGAAGGAGCTAAAAGGGTCCTGAGTGTTTCCTAGGGGCGGGGTGGGGGTGGGGAGTTGGAAGCAGAGGGAAGGAGGATGGTCATAGCAAGGCAGAATGACATCTGAGTCCCAGTGCTTTGCCTAGTGGGAAGGAATGAATGACCAGGGTGTATCCGACCCTGCGGGGTGACTGGGGACCCTCAGGCTACCGAGGCTAGAGGAAGTGACCCTGTGTGCTGAGAAAGACTGAGAGTCAACTCATCTACCTATCATCTAGGCCGCTGAAATTGACATCCTCCAGTTCAAGCCTCAGCACACCCACCAAGCCACAGATCCCCTTGGGACTAAGAAGAAAGTTGGGTGATAATCTAGGAGGCAGATCTTGTGGGGGGAGCCTGGTTTTCTGGAGCAGGGGTCATTGGCAGGATAGGTGAGGTAATGCTGTCTTTATCAGCTTGACACAACCTAGAATCACCTGGGAAAGAGAGAGAGAGAGAGTCTCAGAGAGGAATTGTTTACATTGGGTTGGCCTGTGAGCATGTCTGTGAGGAATTGTGTTTTTTTTTTTTTTTTTTTTTTTTGAGATTCCTCGTGTAAGTGTTGCTGCTTAGTATAGTGTTCATTTTATCTACGCCTTACTTATTTTTGGTTTTGGTTTTTCGAGACAGGGTTTCTCTGTGTAGCTTTGCACCTTTCCTGGAACTCACTTGGTAGCTCAGGCTGGCCTTGAACTCACAGAGATCCGCCTGGCTCTGCCTCGCGAGTGCTGGGATTAAAGGCATGTGCCACCACCGCTGGCCGAGGAATTGTTTTAATTATATTAACTGCTGTGGGGAGACCCAGCCCAATGTGGGCAACACCATTCCCTAGTTAGGGGGAATGTGAAGGGTTTATTTACCAGGCGGACACTTCCGCCTAGCCATTTCTGGATCGAGGCTTCTCGTAGCTAGGATACCCGATGGGCTCGGATATCTCCGCCTAGCAAGTTCCGGGCCAAGGGGTCTCGCATGATCAGGGTCCGTGACGTTACATGGCACGTAAGCGCGCAACGTGACCATGTGATCTACGCACACGCGTAGAGTAGTGACGTAACCTGGCCACGCCCCCAGCCGGTTTTAAAAGTCGAGCGCCATATTCCCCACTCTCTTCTCCACGCACGTGTCTCTCCCACAGGCCTGCACTCTCTGTCCCTTTATTTTCTAATAAACTCTTATAAGCGGATTCTGTCGTGTTTCGTGACGTTTCCTTGCAGGGTAAGAACACAACGCAGCCAGAAAACTAACAGAATGTCTAAGAATGGAGAAATTGATGCCAGGAGGTGGTGGTGCACGCCTTTAATCCCAGCACTTGGCAGAACCAGGCAAATCTCTGTGAGTTCGAGGCCAGCCTGGGCTACCAAGTGAGTTCCAGGAAAGGTGCAAAGTTGCACAGAGAAACCCTGTCTTGAAAAACCAAAAAAAAAAAAAAAAAAAACAAAAAAAAAAAAAAAAAAAAAATTGAGGTGAGCGTGCACTCATTTATATCTCTGCTTTTGACTGCAGATGTGATGTGACAAGCTCTTGTCATTGTGACTAACTCTAATGATGGAATATAACCTGGAATTAATGAGCTAAAATAAACCCTTTATTTCCAAAATTGAATTTTGTAAGGGTATTTTATTACAGCAACAGAAATGAAGCCAGAACACATGGGAACTGGCCCCTACCCTTCTTATGAGGTACCCATTGTGTTATGTCAACATGTGATAGGCACGGGTCTGAGTCTGGAGGGCACCTGCTGAGATGAACAGGTCTCTAGGTCTTGAACGATGAATTGGATCAGGGACACATAGATAATGATAGAAATAGAAGCAGTTTATCAAAAAAGAACAAGGCATCACTGGGTTGGAAGTGGAGGCTAGTAGTCTGGGAAGAGGATGGGCCTTGTGTGAGTTCCAGTCCTTCACAGGTCACTGCACAGTGCACACCTTCTCCTGTGATGGTGTAACCTGGGCTTTCCTCGTGCTCTCTTTGTTTCATGTAGCCCAGGCAGGGAAGAGTTTCCTCTTTCTCTGCTGACTGGCCTCTCTCCATCCCATTAATTTTCTGCTACACAATGCCAACCTGAATTGGCAGCACTCAGAGGGCATGCCTCTTATGTGAGCTTTTAGACTCAAAGAAGGCCTGCACCTTCTTTAGCCCAGTAAGCAAGGCTCAGTCACCTGTCCCCAATATGCCAATTAAATAGACAAGTAATAGTGAAAAGCAGGCAAAGGAGATTGTCCTATTGCTAAATCTCCTTCTCTGTGGGAGATGTAAACAATGTCTACCCCCTCCTACAGTCCCAACCACAAGGAACCAATGAGTTTATTAGGCTTGCTTACCAAGCAGTGGATAAGGGGTTAAGGGCAAGAGTACGGATGATCGGATAATCATAAAGCAACCACACTGAAAGATCTGTGCCCAGCATAGATGATGACTCCCAATGGCTATGTAGATAAAGTCCTGTCCTCTAGTCTTTCCCCACCTGTATACTCCAGCCCTTCCCAGAGACTCTGAGGAGTCTTGGTTGGAAGAGATGCCTGAATACTCAGGAGGGTCCCATGACCCTCCCTACCTCATCCTTCTATGGGGGAACATCAGCAGTCAACAAGACCAGCTCTGATGATTATGGTGGTTTGAATAAAAATGGCCCCCATCGGCCCATAGGGAGTGGCACTATTAGGAGGTATGGCCTTGTTAGAGGAAGTGTGTGTGTGTGTGTGTGTGTGTGTGTGTGTGTGTGTGTGTGGTGGGGGAGGCTTTGGAGTTTTTGTTTTTTTTTTTTTTTTTTGGTTTTTCGAGACAGGGTTTCTCTGTGTAGCTTTGCACCTTTCCTGGAACTCACTTGGTAGCCCAGGCTGGCCTCGAACTCACAGAGATCCGCCTGGCTCTGCCTCCCGAGTGCTGGGATTAAAGGCGTGCGCCACCACCGCCCGGCGGCTTTGAGGTTTTAGAAGCTCAAGCCAGGCCCAGTGTCACTCTCTCTTCCTGCTGCCTGCCGATCCCGATGTAGAACTCTCAGCTCCTTCTCCAGCACCATGTCTGTCTGAATGCCGCCATGCTTCCCACCATGACGATAATGAACTAAACTTCTGAACTGTAAGCTTGCCTCAATGAAATGTTTTCCTATATAAGAGTTGTCATGGTCATGGTGTCTCTTCACACAACAGAAACCCTAACTAAGACAACGATTTTCTGTGGACAGATCAAGATGAACTCTCAAAGATGACAGTGTGACGGGGAAGATAGTCCTGTACAACAATTCAATTTGGTCACATTGGGAAGAGTGACAGGTAAAGAGGTCTAGTGACCAAGTTCATCTTTGGGGAGCCAGCATGAGATTGAGGTTTAAACAGAGGGCAAGAGGTATGCAAGCTAGTCAGTCCTGGTCAAGGTATGGCTGGCCCACCATTGACCCATCATCGTCTGGGTCTTGTGCTGGTCTGACAAGTTGTCAGACCTCTGAACTCTTCCTGGGAGACAAGTTCACCCTCTTGTGGGCACCATGGCTTCAACCTTTTCCTTTCCTCAGCATGAAGTTCTGGGGAAATTCTAATCCTTTGGGGTCCATAGTTTCTAGAGTCGGAGAGCACAAGCATCTCTTTACAATACATCTTCTCCTGTCAGGATGACTACACAGCAGGAACTCCAAACCCACATCCTGCCCTGCCCTGTGAGATGAGCTAAAGTTGAAGCAATTTTCTTCTCTACTCCTGACACTCCACAGCAGCAAGCTAGTAGTAGGGTCCCGCTGGTGTTTATGAACTGTCAGGGACAGATCTCTAATGACGGGGAAGTAAGATGTGTGCCACAGACTCTCTCTCTCTCTCTCTCTCTCTCTCTCTCTCTCTCTCTCTCTCTCTCTCTCTCTCTCTGTGTGTGTGTGTGTGTGTGTGTGTGTTTGAAACACGGTCCCCAGCAGGTGGTGCTGTTTCAGGAGGTTGTAGGAGCCTTGCTGGAGGAAGTGGG